ACTGCTCTTACATATCAAACTCAATTATATTGAGTTTCTTATTGGTGTTCCAAACATCTAACGATTGAACAGTTAGGGGTTGAAATCAAACCAAAACCAAAAATTGATCAATATGATATAGACTCGATTTAATATTTTCCAGAATAGATAATGGCCCAATATGATACCCGAGTCAATTTGACTTATCATAGATCTCCTCTAAATATGAAACATATCCAATTCAACCCGAGTCAACCCTAAATCCAATGAAATTTAAATCTAAATTGACTCAACCTATAAAACTGATCCAAACGACCCTATTACCACTGCTTATCGTTATCACCATTGTTCCTCTTGAAATCTCCTTGGCAAACCGATTAAGTTAAATCCATAATTATTGGGTCATCCGAGCTAGCAGGGACAAACACATGTTATAGGTGGGAGGGGTAATGGCCCACCAACTTTAATGATCTAATTACCTTTTAAGCTATTGGTAATTTTTGAAAACTATTACAATTAAATCCTTGTCATTCTCAAAATTTCTTGTATAGTTGTTTTTTAGGGCAATGTCAGTTTTAGAGATCTCTGAATTCATCGCCATCTCTTATAAGAATTCCTTGAAAGAAGAAACAGAAAGAGAAGGGTGAGATGGGGAAAGCAAAGAGAAAGAATGGGAGAGAGAGTTGGAAGAAAGGGTTTTTATTTTCTATGAAAAATTTAAAGGGGCCTTAGCGAAGAAAATAAAGTTATGAGTCAATTTTATATTTTACTGAAAGTATAAGGGTCAAATTAGAAATTAATTTTTTAATAATGCATCACATCATTAAATTAACGAGTGTTAATAATTTAATGACCAAAACGTAATAAATTGATAACGTACGTGATCGAAACAAATTTTTTTCAAAATTGATAACCAAAACAAGTTAGACAAAAGAATAAAAATAACCATTTTTGTAATTTACACTTTTATATTTATAACATTTTTGTTTTACAATTTTTAAAAAATTGATTTTTTATAAATGTTGTGATTCTTTATATTTTTCTATAATTTCAATTATTTTTAATTAGTTTACTAATGTTTTAGTCATATAGAACATTATAGGCCATCATCTAAGTGACGTGTTAATTTGTTTATTAGCAATCAATATTGATAAACGTAACAAAAGGACGTTATCAGCATTTTATTGGCCCGGGCTGAAAAATATATGCATGATTTGGTTCAACTTGAAAGGCTTAATATAAAAGTAAGTGTTAAATTATATTTAAAATTAATTTTTGGTACTTAAAAAAGTTTTCATTAAAAATAGGTTCATAAAGTTTTCTCCGTTATATTTTTAGGTACATATCGTTAAAAAAACCGTTAAACGACACGTGTCACATCAAAAAATTTTAAAATATATATTTTAAATAATATTTTTATTTTAAAATATATATATAAATGTGACGCGTGTTACTTAATAACTTTTTTTAACTGTATGCATCAAAAAGTGTAACGAGAAAACTTTAAATACCTACTTTTAACAAAAAAACTTTAGATATTAAAACGTTTTTCGAAATATAATTTAAACACTTATTTTTATATTAAGAGAACTTAAAACATATACGAGGAAGTGCTTTTGAATAACAAAGATGCGAACAAGATAATTTAGATTGTCTAATTTTCTAAAATTCTTGTAAAAAATTGAAGGAATGACGTCAACATCACGGCGAACATGCAGATGATAGTAGGTAGCACAGGTGATCAAAAATCAAACAACCTCGCAATTTAAACGCTTAAGAAAACTTGTACCCTTAGCAGAAATAAAGTGTTTCGTCTAAGAAATTAGGGTAAATTACGCTTTCAGTATTTAAATTGTTTGTTTTGGTCCGATTTAAGTGCCTAAACTTTTAATTTTTTACAATCATATCTAACGTTCAATTTTTTTTCATTTTATCACCATGCTGTTAAAAGCTTAACGGGTAATTTGCACATGGAGCCTTTTTATGGGATAAATTGCATCATTAATATCTCAACTATCTTCTCACTCCTATTTTGGTCATTAAAGTTTAATTTTTTTAATTTAATTACTTAACTTTCAAATTACTCCTAATTTAATCACTCTAAATTTCAAATTTATTTTTAATTATATATTAGTAAAATAAATTAGAGTGATTAAAATAGTAGCAATTTGAAAGTTGAGTAGTTAAATTAAAAAAAATTAAACTTTAGTATCGAAATAGGAGTGAGAAGATAATTGCATGATGAATGATGTAATTTACCCATAAAATTGCAGTGCCGTTAAATTTTTAACAAAAACAAAATGGATGTCCCTTGTTCCCATGTGTAATGGGGTATGGGAGAGGTAAGATAGTAGGCTGCCCCCAACACTAGGTTGAGAGCAGCTTCCGTAGGAGACCTCCAAATTATGAAATACCCTCCATAGAACTCGATCCCACGACCTCAAGGTTAAGAACCTTGTGCTCTACCAACTGAGTTGGATGATAATTTCAAATTTTTAACAACAATGTATTAAAATGAAATAAAAATTCAACATGTATGATTTTGAAAAAAAAAATTAAAGTGTAGATACTAAAACATATCAACATTGATAGTTTAGGCATTAACCGCGTAATTTACCCAAGAAATTATAGAATCTATGACTTGGATTCTTATATTAATCAGGTTTTCGAATGTGGGTCCTTTTGATCATCGGTTTTGGTTTGCCTAATAATAATTCAAGGAGTTCTTAAGCTAGTTATTATGGGAGACGGTGAGCATTGAAATTTCCAACCTCTTTTTAAGGAATTTGATAACAACAAATGACCAAACCTGACTTTCCTCGTAGACTTAAATCCCAGACTTCATTGCTTTAAATCAAGGGGAGAACTAAGCGAAAACCAAGAAGAAGAAAAAATAAAGAGAAAATGGTGGACCTTGTAGCAGCACAAAAGCCATTGTTGCATGGGCTACTGAAGATTTCTGGGGTTCAGCCTTTCACGGTGGAGCTCGAGCCAGGCACGGTGATGAACTTTTGTGTTCCTTGTGAAACAATCAAGAAACCTAAAAAGGGTGAAAAAAAGGTTGACCCGTTTGGAGAAACCGACGAAACCAGTGGTGGTCTTAGTGCATGGTTTTGCTGCGGAAGGCATAGTTACATGGCAATTCCATGTCGGTGCTTTGACGAAGAAGTACTCGGTTTATATACCTGATATCCTCTTCTTCGGTGGCTCCATTACGGAAAAACCAGACCGGTCACCAACTTTCCAAGCCGAGTACTTGATTAAGGGTTTGAGAAAACTTGGCGTGGAACATTGTGCCGTGGTGGGGTTTAGCTATGGTGGGATGGTGCATTTAAGATGGCTGAACTTTACCCTCATATGGTCGATGCCATGGTGGTCTCTGGCTCGATCCTGGCCATGACCAACTCCATAAGTGTGGAGTCTTTAAACAGGCTCGATCATGGGGTTCTCTTCTTCTGCTGAATTGTTGTTGCCAAATTCTGTTAAGGGTCTAAAAGCTCTTCTCTCCGTCGCTGCTCATAAGTCATAAGAAGCTTTGGTTCCCAGATCGGCTCAACAAAGACTACCTTAAGGTTTGTTTACATATTATTACTCTTATCATCGTCAACTTTAATGATTTTCTTTCCCCGTTTCTGCTTAATGAACTCCCTAGTATTATTCGAATTAACATTTTGCATGCATGACTGGCGATTCACGTTAATTTCGTGGGTTTTGATTAATATATGAATGAATAAAATAATCAGAGTTAAGTACAGTCAAAACTTTCAAATAAAGCTTGCTAGATATATCTGCATGTATTCTTTATTAATACAACAAGAACAAAAGCTGGTAAATTCAGGATACTGTTTCTAGTCTTTCTTTCCTAAGTTCCTTTTTGAATCACGTATTAGTATTATAATGTTAAATCCAATGATTGTCATCTTTGAAAAAAAATTATTACAAAACAATTAAACTAGAGTAGGTTTGAGAGTCTCTACTAAAGGTGAGCACTCTCTAATAAGAGTCAGCACCAGATCCACTTGAATCGGTTCAAGTTAAAAATTTTGAGTTTATAAAATTTAAGATTAGTTGTTTAAGTTTTTGTTTAAAATTAATTATAAATATTTATAATATAATAATTTATGTTATTAATTGGTTCCAATTTAAATGTTTTTTTCTAATCATATATAATTATACGGAGTTATGTCCAACTAACTGTACCTAATTACCATACCAAGTGAATCGATTCAGTGACAACTGTGATGGTGGACAGAGGCGCCACCCACCCCTTTAGTTAAAGCTACAGATGGCCCTAGCAAATATATATGGATCCTTGCATTAAAAAAAATACAAGTTCCAATAATGGAAAGGAATACAGTCAAAGTTGTCTGTCGTCATTATTATGTTTAGAAACTTTATGAAATCTGATCTGATCTGATCATCAATGGGTCTGGATGGAAATTACAGGTGATGTTTACCAACAGGAAAGAGAGACGAATTGCTGGAGGGCTCGGTCATTAGTAATAAGGATGCCACTGTCCCATCTTTTCCACAGGTTGTCTCCATTAGCATTTTTTTTACCCTCGGCATCTTTCTACAGTTGAAATTGCTTATTACATTTTCCCATATATAATCTTGTAGAGAATACATCTGCTATGGGGTGAAGAAGACCAAATCTTCAAGCAAGAGCTCGCTCACAACATGAAACAGTATGTCTTGTTTTGTTTTCTCTTTCTGTTTTACACAGCTTTGGGTAATTGGATGTACGCTCGCAGGCAATTAGGCGAGAACACAACCTTCTAAGGCATAAAGAAGGCAGGTCACTCGGTTCACCTGGAACGACCCTGTGTTTATAATAGGTGTCTTAAGCGTTTCCTGGCTTCATTGCTCGATGAATGAGTCTTTCGGGTTTGTTCAGAGTCCACGGTAAAACTTAACTTGCTGTCCTGAAAACAGAAAAAGGGATTGGGATAACTGTGGACTCTAATTGTAATGGATTATTATTTGGCACACAAAATATCCATTTTCTAGCAAAGAAGTGATTGTGAAATAATTTGGAACAAATTCCTCGTCCCCCCCCCCCCTCCATTTATTTTAAATAATAATAGCAATGCATGATACAGGTTTGCTAAAGGCAGCGCTGGATATGAACAGAGCACACAACTCGAAGGAACTTTGAAAATAAAATCCAAAAAGATCAAATGATACAGTGAAGATCGTTTTCATCTGAAAGAAGATTGAATCTCTTCCAGGCTTCTTCCTTTGGTTTCAGGGACCCAAAGTGCTACAAAAACAATGGTGAAAGCAGCCACACACGCGTAAATTGTGAAAGTTCCTGCTCATAGGAAACGAACATGTTAATTTTATAGATTCTTAACTTACACGTACAACTAAACAACAGTTATTGATAGAGAGAGAAAGACCTCCACCACTCCAGGTCAGAAGCAAGTTTGCTGTCATAGTAATTGCCCACGATGTTGTCCAATTCGCCAACGTCGCTACACTCCCAGCTAGACCCTTAATATTCACAGGAAGTATCTGAAAAGATGAAGTTCAGAGAAAATAAGCACCTAACCGAACCAACCACGGATTTACAAACACTGTCTGCACTGTAACAAATGGCTTGAATGCAGAATTCTACACTTAATTTCTGTTTCAAGAAACTGAATATCATATTCTATAGTTTTAACTTGTGCAAGAAATTCCAAAATAACGCACGGATGCATACAAGAGATGCACAAACATGACATAAGAAACACTTATAACCCTAGTGAGGAAGCAGTGGAGAATCAATATATAAGAATCTTAATGCTGTTTCGGTCGCATGGGCTTAAGGTACACAATTGCATCCCAGGTTTGTTTCTTGCTTCGTATCTCTCACACTCTAACTAAAGCCAATACATGCATTAATGCCACCCGGATTACATGATAGCATACAGACATACAGCAGGTTTAGCAGCAACAGCTAATAAACATGAAATATGGTCCCACTGGATTAAATATCACAGTCACTAGATATGTATTACCTTACCCAACCCAGTCCCACCTCTGCTTTGTCAAGAGACAGAAATATATGCTCAGGAAAACAATTATTTTTGGTTCTGTTAGGCAGTTATATGCATCCAACTGAATATAATAAAACGGGATCGCTTAAAATGATTAAAATCTTCCTTCAATGTTCTCGGTTGCTTATATCATCCATGGTCAAACAAGCTGTATAAGCATTGATGAAACATACTCTCACCCATCACTATCGAGTAGTATTTCATATAGAATCCTATAATGGGGAAATTAGAATGTTTCCTATTTATGTAAGGTGGAACTATAAGAGAAATTTGAATACCTCAGACATTATAACCCATGGAATTGCACCGATTCCCAGTGAGAAGGCAATAACAAAGGCCTGGATTGAAAACAAATATCAATTAGAAATCTACTTGACAGAAGTAGAGTAATACACACATTTATGTACATATATATTATACTCATACACACAAATTTCACTACGAGTGAGAGAAATCTTACCACAAGACCGACCAGTGAAAGTACTCCCATTATGTGATATAAGTCAGAATCTTCAGCAACAATTTTCTGGTATCAGTGAAGAGAAAGAAGAGAAGGTATCAAGAAGCAGTAGTAAAATAATTAAGAAAGAATTTATCAAGTGGGATTGCTTAAATATTGACGGTGGCATTTAAAAAAATAGAAAGGGGAAGATAAATTAGAAATCAATGGACCTAACATCACCAACCTCAACAAAAAAGGCAACTGCAACAATGAGCAGACTCAGGGTCATTCCAGACGAGGATACCTGCAAAATCATTTATGATTATTGATCTTATTCATTTCTATCTTAACCATAGATCAGTAGCAAATATAGAATGAAAGGTTAGTTCAAACACACCATAAGAAGAACCCTGCGGCCAGTTCTGTCCACCAACCATGTGGTCACACCTGTTGCAACAACCTACACAGAATAGACACCTATTAGATTGATCAGAAATAAAACTTCCCGGTAATATATGACCCCCTGCATGACAAAATAAGAATGTGCCTACTTTACCTGAATGGCCCCAAGCCCAAATGTTGCAACATTACTAGATGAAACCCCTAAACAATTTTATTGCACTGTCAAATTAGTGAATCATAAGGAATAAATAAATAAATAAACCAAAACTGTTGCAATCTTAAAATAAGAACCTTGAGATGGGATGGGGAATTAATATTTTGTTAATCTTGTACAACCACAGGTTAACAAAATATCCCTCATATTCTTAAGATTAATCAATATCAACACGATGTATAAAGAGAACATTAGCAAATCTCCAACAGATGGAGAATGCATTCTTTCCTACTAAATTTGGCACATCCACTACATATATTTTGAATGACAAAATTGTCTTGCTAAATTTGAATTTGATAATGCATGCTATCCATTACAAGGTAATGAGGTTCATGCAAGGCAAAGTCTCCACTTATAAGTGAATTTATTTATTCTCCATCTAAAGATTCAATTAATATAAAATCATCGTTAAATATCAAAGAAATGTTGTTCTAACCAGCATTTTCAAAGATGTTACTGGCATAGAATAAAACACCATTGATACCACTGAGTTGTTGAAGCACCAGTAATCCAATTCCTATCTGCAGCATACCAATTACCACTAAAATTAGAGGTTAAATCAACATTTTTTGGGGCAAAGGAAAGAAATACTATAAATGAAATAAAAAATATATAGAAAAGCAAAGAATATACCGTTAAAGGATACCAATATCTTTTGCGCTTGAGATCCGCAAAACGAATTGTTGTTCTCTTGCTTGATGATGCCAGAGATCTCTGCAGAGATGCCAATTAGAGCTTAACTTTAATAGAAAAAGATGCTCTTAAGACACAACCTCATGCTTAACACCTAAAACTTTTGTGTAACAACTTAGTTTTGCAGTTCAATGCACAATGTATGAGCCTTGGTTGAAATTAAAAAAGAGATATTGCAGTGATTCAGTTTAAGACCTTAATTTCATTGACTTCAACAGAAATATCTGTATCAAAGCCGCGCAAAACTTGCAGAGAGGATTCAAAATCTTCCATCATTCCCATTTTTGCCTGGACACAACCCAGTCACAAACAATAATAAACAAAATACTATATGGAAGAAGAAAAGTGGAAAAGATAAAAAGTTATAAAAGGTCCACTCAAATGATTGCAGGTACATGTTTCTTACCAACCATCGAGGAGACTCTGGTATGAAAAATAGGCCAGGTATCAATATTGTACATGGTAATATTCCTATAAAGAAGAAGCACTGAAGTCTGTTAGCGATAACTGTACATTCAATAACAAATTTGAGTGATTACTGATAAACAATGACCATAGATTATCTTCAACAGAAGCATAGATGCATACGAAAATAACGCCATGGCTACATTATAACGGAACACAGTAGTGTCTTTAAAACCTACTAGCCATCTATTAAATACAAAAACACTACGTTTTCATTGAAAAAAAGAGATTACCACAAAAATAATTTAATTTTCTAAAAAAAAATCTCAGTTAAATTCAACTAGTAGTCACATGCATTCAGCCATGCACAATATGACATCATCAATTTTTTTTGAGTTTGTTCAAATAATAAAAATGTTTGGACATTTTTACCCCAACATCGGTCAGTGATTCTCTTATGGAAAGTGGGGATAAGTGAACAAAATTCAATACACTTACCTAAAACTGCAAGTACTCTCCAATTTGCAAACAGTCCCAACAGATATGCCAGCATTATTCCAATAGTAACCGATAGCTATCCAATAAAAGATGTTTACTTGATTAATCAGTTGACAGAAGTAAATATGGGATAACAAAATGGATGCTAATGTAGAATAAACCTGGTTCACCGATCCAAGTCTTCCTCTCATGTTTTGGGGTGCTATCTCAGCTATATATACAGGCACCTAGACATAATTATAATCATGGTGTTATTCATGTTTTAAGCATTACTGGAAAAAATGTTCCAATAAAAGAAGTAAAAAGCAGCTGAAAGCTTCCAAGGTACCGTGTAAGAGATAATACCGACACCAAACCCTTCTAGCAACCTTCCCATAAATAAAAACGAAGAATCCTACAAATGCCCAATGCGTAGGAAGTTAGCAACAAGCTTTGCAAAGGAGAAACAATGAGAAATAAAAAATTACCAAAAACCTCTCACGTTGGCAAATGATATGGCCAGCCATCCTAAAATGTTAGGAATCGCAGCAATCATTAACGACTGCAGATTTAACACAACAAATGCAACATTAAATTGTTAAACCGGAAAAAATATTCATATTTGATCCAAATCATCCAATACAGTGTAAATACATATATAAATTTGGAAGATTAGTGAATTAAATTCATAATTTCTCAGCTCTAAGCTCAAAGGAAACATTAATCAAAGGTAAATAAGAGAAATTACGAAAGGAATAAGTTACCCCTTTTCGGCCAATATATTCAGCAATCTGACCACTGGCAATTGCCCCAACCATTGCTCCCACATTTGACAAGGAACCAAAAATTGAAAACTGCCCCAAAATAAGAACAAACAAGGACTGATTTAATGAAAAAGGAAAACAGAAGAAAAAACAATTTAAATTAAAGAGGGGAACTCGGGAGATTCCAATTCATACCTCTGAAATCGAAAGATTAAGATCACTGATAATTTGAGCTTGAGTAGGAGAAGAGTATCCACACTGCATAGTGAAATTTAAAGCAAAAACAATAATAATTACAGTTGAAAATGAAGTTAGAAAAAGGGAAAAGACCAAAGATGAGATTGAGAAGAGGGGGCTAGTAAATTATTATACGGTGAAGCCAAATTGGATAGGGCCCAAGGCGACGATTAGGACACAGAGGACAACGGAGATTGATCCATCGCGAAGGACTTGGGCAGAAGATCCCATTATACTGGACTGCCTGGAACTCATCCGATACCAACTTCCAGTATGCAAAAAGGGCTTCTTGAGATCCCGGCCTTCTTCGTTGTCGTCCCGAAAACTCATCGCCAATTCACTTCAAAAGAAAACTGTCAGAAATTCAATGAAAAAGCTCTAAACTTTGTTATATTAGCAGAGAAGAGAAAAATGAATGACGATGGTGATGATGATGGTTATAGTGATGTGATAAGACGTTTAATATATCAAACATTGTGATGGGGAAAAAACACGTGGGCTGATGTGGCCTTTTTATGTATATGTTGGTCGGGGCTTATCCATTCGTTTTTGGGCAACAATCCATGCTTTTCGTTACTTTCGACAATCGGGCTTCCCCCCCCCCCTCTGGGTTTGCCCGAAATGGATTTGTGGAGTTCTTTAGGTAAAATGCAGTTTTGGTGCTTGGACCATATTTTATTTTTTGTTGAGGTTGCCTATAGTAAAAAAAAATTGTCAATTTAGTACTTATGGTTTTCATTTTTTATTAACAATCCATGATTTTCACTACATTAGGCTATGCTTACCTTTTTTTTATGGATAAAAGAGCAACCCATAGATTGCAAATGGAGAGGGCTTGCAAATTCTAAAACTAAAACATTTGTTACAAGGGTAAATTACAATGTTCCTCATTGAACTTTACTCGCTCATATTTTGTTAATCGTACTTTCAATTTTTATATTTTGCTCACTGGACTTTATAGATTGAATCGTTTTGCTCACTCTGTCGTCAACTCTCTAACAGTGTTATGACATGGCACAAACATCAAAACGATGTCGTTTAGAAAAACACAATTATACACTAAAATGACGTCATTTTGAATCCTCTTCTTTCCCCCATTACTGCCACCAGCCACCACGTCATTTTTCATTCCATCCACCGTCAACCATTGTTGATGATAGTCGTTCGGTCCTAAAATAAATGGGTCGGTTCATCTCGACGCATGAGTCTGAATTTGGTGGTTGTTTCACTGGAAAATATCCCAAAATTCGTGAATCTCAACTGAAATGTTTAGGTTTCCTCACTTTCAATCTCTGATTCGTGAACTTCAGAGCAAGTTCGAACAAAATGGAGGCCAGATTCAGACTCCACGTGTCGAGTTGAAGCGACCCTTGAAATTTAGGACCGAATAATCACCATCTACGGTGGTCGAAAGTGGCATCCGACCACCTTCTGTTTCTATTTTATAGTTGGGAGAGCAAAATAAGATAGATAGTAAAGTCCAGTGAGGAACAATGTAATTTAGCTTTTATATTTTCAATTATTTATATTAAATAATAATAAAATGACACATCATCACATCGTTAGAAAGTTAACGACATACTGAGCAAAATGATTCAATATATAAATTTTATTGAGCAAAATAGAAAATTTGAAAGTATAGTAAACAAAATAGGAGAGAGAGTAAAGAACAGTGTAATTTACCCTTTGTTTAATTGACTTTTATATCAAATGCTCTTTTTACATAACACATCTTGCGTGTGTGTTGTCAAATCAATAAAATGTATTTTCTAAAAAATATCTTTGTCACGTATGAATAAAATACTTTCTACAGAAATTATATTTATCAATTGAAATATTGAATGTTATTTCAAAAAATAATCTCCAATGATCCTATAACGGTAATTAACTTTTTATTTAGTGATACTTAAATAAAAACCTCGTAGTCATACGCTCTAATTTGCTCCTATTTATTTAAACAAACACTCATTCTATTTCATTGAATGATAAAATTAAAAATAATTAAAAAAAGAAATTTATAAAATAATGAAAAAGTCTAAAAAAATAAAAATTGAAAGCTGATAGGGAAGCTCACGTTAAGAGAAATGCTTTGGGTGCATTTTAACAGGACTTTTGTGTATCGAGGAATTTCTCAATTTTCCTCAATTTCTTTCTTACTTTTGGATTTATTGTTTGATATGAGGTTTTTACTTTGAGCCCTGGGGGTTTTGTGTTCTTGATTTGGTATGTTGTGCTCTTGATTTTCTTTGTTTGGGTTCTTTGTTGGTTTTAGATATCTGTCTAGGTTTTGTGCTAATTGGGGGTCGTTGTTTAGGCTATGGAGCAGTCTTCAGGGCTTGATTTGAAGAAGCATTTGCGGCGAGAAAGAGTCAACTGTTCGATTTTTCCCTCCTCCAGTCTCCAATGGTTTCATTATAATGAAGCCTCCTCTTGAGGTTTTCATAGAGGGTTTGCATGTTTGGAGGTTCTCAATTGTTGTGTAGTTCTTGGACCGGTCTCCATCATTTGGTTTTATGGCAAAGCTGGTCAATCAATTGTGAGGCAAGATGGGAGATATGGAGGTGATGTCGGCTGGGGAGAATTTGTTTATTTTTCAGTTTGTCAATGCTACGGCTAGAGACTGGGTTTTGGAGAATGGACTATGGCATATTCAAAATAAGCTAGTTGTTTTACGTTGTTGTGAGCCTAATTTACAAAAGCTGGAGTTTGACAGGAAGAAGATGTCGGTATGAATTCATCTTAATTGGATTCCGTTGGAGTTGTTAACTCAGAAAAGGCTTAGTTATATTGCAAGTGATGTGGGCACTCCCTTGTATATGGACAATATTATTATTGAGCAAGTAGATATTGGTATATGCTAAAGTATGTGTTGAGATTAATGTTGAGTCTTCTATTCCTAAGTGCATTAATTTTTTGCATAGTAATGGTTCCTTGGTTCTGATATGTTGATGTGCCTTGGATGCCTATTAGATGTAAGAGTTGTAATATGTTTGCTCATATTGAGAAGACTTGTTATGTGAAGGTTGCAAAATCTGTCACTGTTGTTGGGGAGAAAGTTTGGAAACCTAAGGGGGTTAGGGAGCTTGTTAGGCTCTAACATTTGTAGGGGTTGGTAGTGTTGATGTTTCTAACGTAGTTTCTTTGGGGAATGTCGTACCTCTTGGTGAGGATGCTTTTATATCTCCTATGGAGGTTGTTGTTGTTAATTCAGTTGAGCATAGCTCCTCTAGGGTTCTAGGGTTGCTGGAGGAGTGGGTGGGGATAGGAAGCATGTCCTGTTGGATTATGAGAATAGGTTCAAAATTCATAGTGGTTTGCAGGATGATATTTCTATTTCTACTCCTCAGGGGAAAGATGGTCCCTCTGTGGAGATTGTGGTTCCTTTAGATAGTGAGAGTCCTGCTTGTAATTCGGGGCGTGTGGATGACCAGAGGAAGAAAAGGGTTGCTTTACAGGGGGTGGCTGTGTTGATGCAAGGGCTAAAGGCCAAGAAAAAGGGTATGTGGATAGGATGAAGACAAAGGTTAAGGTATTGGGGCTGATGAGGCTTCCTCTTTTTCTATCAATGAAGTTGTTTGTGGGAACACTAGGGGATTTAATGATCCTCTAAAGTAGCGTGATGTTATGGTGAGGTTGAAACAACTGCATATTGAGCTAGTGTATAGATGGAGACTACGGTAAAGGGGAGAAGGTTGTTACTATTTGGGGTAAGTTTTTTGGCGAGTGGAATGGAGTCCATAATTATTCTATGGCTGAGAATAATAGGCTTTTGGTGTTATGGATGGGGTTAGTTGATTTTTATATTGTTGCTTTGACAGATCATAGCATCTCTGGTTTGTTTAGGTATAAAGGTGTTGAGTTTCTCCTTACTGCTGTCTATGCTTGTAATTTTGATAGGTATAGGAAGAGGCTTTGGTGCTATCTGGAAGATTTAAATAGGCTTGTTATGGATAAAACTTGGATAGATGTGGGGGACTTTAATATCATTTCTCATCCGATTACATCTTAGAATTTTGATGGAACTTATTCTGTGTCTAGTAATATGCAGGATATTGTGAATGTTTTAGTTCCGTTGGTTTCACTGACCATGCCTAGTAGGGCTTTTTTTTACTTGGTCAAATCATCAAGAGGGAATGACTTTGTTGCGGAAGCTTGATCGTGCTATGGTAAATACTTCCTAGTTTAGGGAGTTTTTGTGTTTTCGGGTTGATGTTTTAGGGCCTGGTGTAACACCCTAATCTGATCCGATCTAAAAGTTAATAGACTATGATGTCACACGAAACCACGTGATTGGTTAACCATTTTTAAAGCATTTTTATCAAACTAGCAACGATAACATCCAAATACCATATGTTTCACAAAATATAAGTATTTAAGTTACGGGGGAGCTCCTGATAAAAGTCTTCAAAAATATGTTCAATAAAATAAAATACAGAGTTTATGACTCAAATACAATTAAGGGTCTATGACAGTACATGCCCACTAATTTCTCGAGACGTACTATGATGGTGATCAAGTCTAGAAAGCTCTGAATTGATGACATGCTTCTCGAATTAGCACCTAAAGACATGAACATGGAAAGAAATTCCATACGCTGACCTCACAAGGCCAGTGCCACAAAAATAACCTTACTATACTACATGCATTCAACAAATATAAGCATGATACAATATAATCATGAACAATTACAACCACTCAAGCAACAAGTATCATGGTGTAGTTCAGGGTCATTTAGCCTCGAGGAACTCACACCCCTCTTTACTTACTACAACACTTAAAGAAGATCTGTATCACACAACATCATTGTCTCCCTAACTTTGGGTTAAGTCTATGTCCTAAGTGTCGGTACTTTACCCGATTAGTCTAATCTTCTAGAGTACTCGGGATGTGTTTGGGTCATATAACATCGGCACAACATCCAACTAGCATTAGAGTGCGTAAGCACTTTAATGAAAATATTCGAATAATCCTTACAGAATTACGCTAGTATCTTTAAGTAACTCGGGTGTCTTCTTCGTTTCCCGAGTATCAAGAAAAGGCACAAGTCTTATGGAATCTTACCTCATTGAGACATTAAGTTATCACAAATTTAACTACAATTACCTTTTTTATTCTTATGGAAGAGTAAACCCCTGTTAAGGAACCCAAACTACCTTTCTCAAATCAGCTAGCAGAATTTCCCACCCTCCTCGGTATTGATACTTCCAAATTTGCATTCAAAGTTTCAAAAAATACCCCAATATCGATACCCCTATCGGAGTATCGATACTACCACTCGGTATAAGAACATCCTTGAGTATCAGTACCAAACTTATATACTAGAATTAGATTTGGGACCCCTAGTATCGATACTAACTCTTGATTATCGATACCACTTGAACAATATCGATACTCTTTACTGA